AGATGGATAATCCACACCCACCCCAAGGCCAGCAGGCCGCTAGTAGGGAGCTGAGAGCCAATACCTCGTCAATCATCAGCCAATTCGCCCTCGTTAAGAATGGACTCCACAGGAAGTGGGGGCGTGTCAAGCTTTGGCTACTTGGTCTCAAGAGCAGGCAGACAGAGAAAACCCATCCGTGGATTATCCATCTCCGTACTGAGAAAAGGCGTTCAGGTAAGACCAACGCCCCTTCCATTGAGGACCACATGCTGAGTACAGCCGGTCATCCAGCTACGGATCCGTCTGGTGGTGATGCTGTCTAGCCTGCATTTTTCTATCTTCTCAAGTAGTAGGTTGTGGTCTACTTTGTCAAATGCCTTACTGATCTAATTGATTGAATTGATTTTCCTAATTTTTTAACATCTTATCATATAAATGGCTATTTAATACTTCAGGGGCTTGGTGGCACATAGTTTCGATTATCTCAAAACAGATGGATCTAGAATGTCAAATAATAATTATAATAGTACTTTTATTTTTCAAATTAATACTTTAATGAATAAAGGATACTCTTGGAAGACACTGAAAGTCTTTTGATTATATATTAAAAAATCACCTGTCATATTTAAGGTGGCTATTTTTTTTACTCTTCTTTATTTTTTACAGTTTAATATTTCATTTTATGGCCATATATTTATTGTCTCAATTTCAAACTCATATGACCTTTTCACCCAGATTAATTAGATGGTATTGCAAAGGCAGAACATTAGCTTCTTATGAAAACCAGCATCATCCAATCACTTTTCCAAAGATACAACACAATTCACTTAAATCATTTGCTTGCTTGCCAATCTGCTGCTTACAGTAAGACACATGCAAGGACATGCTAGGCAGAAATAGTCAAACTATTTTACCAAATCTGTTGTGCTTTAGCAGAAGATGAAATACGGTGGAAATACAATAAAATATTCTTTTTTACAATTCTTTGTTTAAGAATTATTGTTAAGGTAAATAGATATTTTGGAAAAAATAACTGTGATAATTGTTACTTAAAATAATATAAGAATATTAAATAAACATTTATGTTGTTGAATAGGAAATACATTACAAGTCAATATGTATAACTATATCTAGTCTATTTCTAGATTAGATCTTAAAGGATTCGTATTTCTTGGTAAACATGTTGCTTATACTGGAAAGCAGTGATCACTTAGTGTAGACCAGCCTTCCCCAGCCATCTGATGTCTTGAATGTTTGTTTGATTACAGCTCCCAAAATTTCCAATTAGCACTTGATGGACTCTGGCCCTTAATTCCCAGGTTTGGCCATTCTGTCTTGAAATTTTGGAAAGGAAGATAACACATTGAACACATTTAATATGGATGATACAGAGTGATCTGATATACTTATACTTCTTATGTGATTGTTTTATGTATGATTGATACATATCATATCTCATTAGTGGACCTTGGAAAGATTCCTTCCAGTAATGACATTAGGCAACATTTGATCCATTGCAAAACTAAGCTGAAATGATAGAATGATAACCTTCTGCTCATATTAAAATTGTTAATGACACTCGGTATTTTGAAAATGTAGTTTTCTACGTAAGATTATCTGGGACACTATACATCCTCTTCACGACCTGTTTTCCTTATTACCTTCTGGAAGGAGGCTTCGTGGTATCCATAGCAGAACATCCAGATTCAGCCATAGTTTCATTCCATACAGCATTAACCTTGCAAACTCTCAAGCTTCCTCCTTCCGTTCTGTATTCAAGATGGACAATATTTAATATTTATTTGCTATGTATATGTAGGGATGTGGCTATATACATATTTTGTTCATAGTTTGTTTAGGTATGTGTCATGTATGTGTTTTACTTTGAGAGGGGGCAACTAAATTTCATTTTTGATGTGTGCCATTGTGCCCACAGTATAAAAATGACAATAAAGATTATCTTATCTTATATAATGATTGTAGCATCACTGCCAGTTAATGATTTAAGGACGTGTTGGGTCAATTAATGTTAGTGTTGCTATTTTTCTGCTACATGAGATTGAAAAAATGGTTTGTCAAAAACTTGGCAGGCTAAAATAATTGACTTGATTGGCTTGGTAGATCACTAATGGTGGAGACCTGATTTACAAATAATCAATTAAAGATGGATTTTCAGAGTATTCTTTGTCTTTGAGTTTAGAATTTGAATCCAAAAGCACATTTATGAATTGATGTTTTGTTGAATGGAATTTTCACGAGTTTAATGTGAAAAGATTGGGGTTTCCAAACAGTTTGGATCTTAGGACACAGTAGTTAGGAGAAATAAATACAGTATGTAGTGATTATTGAATAAAATTAATTACAGGAAAGTATATTCAATTATTTTTAAAAAGCATTGTGGTTTTAATTGACAAGCAGTTAATAGGACCTGACATGCAAGACAAAAGAATTAGTAAATAAATTCTGATGAGACCCTTATAATTTTATGAAAATATAAAACAGTTGTTTATAAACTATATATTACATATAAAATAAATGTTGGATAAAACCTGTAGAACAATTATGACACAAATGGAGTACGTGCCCTTTTAAATCCAACTTAAAAATGCTGGGAAATGCTGAGAAACATAACAAAAAGTTTACATCTTTGTGTTCAAACAACTGTAAACTGGTATTTAGCTATTTATTTAGGCAACAAAAATTCATCAGATTTTGTTGCCAGTTCTAGATGACATCACATCATTATTGTCCTCTACTATTATCTCAGTTGAACAGCTAAAGTGATGTATATCTGGCTGAACTCTGGGCCAACACATTTTTCTGAAACTGATCCAGGCTGGAGCTACTCTTCAATATACAACAATAATGGAGCCTGCCATTATGGTTGCATATTGTAATGAGACTCACCTCTTTTACAACATTTTTTGTGCGTTAAGCAAACATGACAATTGTAAAGTGAATGCCATAGAAGTAAAGCAAACCAATAGTTCATTATAGATGTGGTTTTGTCAAAAATCAGAAGTGCCAGTTTTCAACAAAACCATCATAAAATGCTGCCATGTAGCCACAAACGTCTGCAAATGGCTGTTAAATATAGCTGTGTTGCTGAATTTCCAAAATTTGGTCACCTGACTGTGGAGGGGATCTTGCTGTCAGAACTTGAAATTCTGGTTCATAAGTTCCCTTTTTCAGGTCTGTTATAACTTTAGCCATTTAGTGAGCAGACATAACTCAAGCAACTCCACAAGCAATTGCATCAACAGACACATTAACCTGCAACCAGCCTACGAGCTCCTCAGAATTCAGAACAACCACATAGTCAACCAAAGACAGCACCGACCCAAAATCAACCCACACAGCCCTCTCCTCCCAGTTGTTCACCTCCCAATGCCCCTGACCTGACGTAACCTCCCCATAACAAGATCCATCACAAGCCCCTCAATGATGACTGACACCTGACCTATCACAAGAAATCACAAGACCCTCACTTGACACACCCATATATGAAGCCCTTATAAACAGAAGAAAACTGACACTGACATCCTCTAAACTCCACTGAAGATTTTACCTAGCCGGTAACGAAAGGTTCAGAAACTGATCCACAAGCTCGGAGAACGAATCTTCACCTTCACCCTACATCCAAGCTACAGATTTACTATTGCAAATTTAACATGATATTTGGAAACAAAATACCATTCACATTTGTCATGATGATAACTTCCACTGCAACATATATGCCATACACATCAATCAATATAAGTTCTGGTTGTAGTTGGGGATTCCTTTTTCCCCCTGAAATAAATTCACCCAAATATTTTGTATCCTTTTTTTCTAATATGTGTTACTTGTAAGATATATATCTTTTGTTAAATAATAAAATATTATTATATAATATTAGTAATATTATATAATATTATAACTCCTGAGGGAATAGAAGAGGAATTCATCAAATTTGAAGATGATACTAAACTGGCAGGAATAACCAACACTCCAGAAGACAAGCTCAGGAGACAGACTTGACAGACTTGAACAATGGGCCCTATCCAACAACATGAAATTTAATGTGGAGAAAAGCAAAGTTTTACATAGGCAGGAAAAACCAAAGGCACTAGTATAGATTAGGCAAAACCTGGCTCAAAAACAGTAACTATGAGAGGGATCTTGGAGTCCTAGTGGATGATCACTTAAACATGAGTCAGCAGTATGCGGCAGCAAACAAAAAAGCTAATACAATCCTTGGTTGTATAAACAGAAGCATAGAATCAAATCAGATGGAGTATTAGTACCATTTTATAAAATCTTAGTAAGACCATACCTGGAACACTGCATCCAGTTTTGGTCACCACATTACAAAAAAGATGTTGAGACTTTGGAAAAAGTGCAACTAAGATGATTAAAGGTCTGGAGACTAAAACATATGAAGAACGGTTGCAGGATTTGGGTTTGGCTAGTCTAGAGAAAAGAAGGACTAGGAGGGACATGATGGCAATATTCCAGTATTTGAGAAGTTGCCACAAAGAGGAGGTGGGTCAACTTATTTTGCAAAGCACCAGAGGGCAGGACAAGAAATAATGGATGGAAATTAATCAAGAAGAGAAGCAAACTGGAATTAAGGAGAAATTTCCTAACAGTGAGGACAATTAACCAATGGAACAGCTTGCCATCAGAAGTTGTAGCTGCTTCATCATTGGAAGTTTTGAACAGTCATTTGTCTGAAATGGTATAGGGTGTCCTGCCTGAGCAGGGGATTGGACTAGAAGACTTACAAGGTCCCTTCCAGTTCTATTCTGATTGATTGATTGAATCCAAATGTGAAAGTATTTCATTTACAATAAGAAACATAAAAGATAGACTCCCTCCTACTTTTTTCGGTCCTTAATGTGTTTATATCAAATGACACTTTGTATATATATATATATATATATATATTATTTACTATAACTATAAAAAGGTTGCAAATTCTACTGCTTTTAATTCTCATAAATCCTTACCATTATTTACATTTAATTTTCATGCAGGTGGTTGACCAGATTGATACACTCACTTCTGATCTGCAGCTGGAAGATGAGATGACTGACAGCTCAAAAACAGATACATTGAATAGCAGTTCAAGTAGCACAACAGCATCCAGTTTGGAAAAAATAAAGGTTCAAGGCAGTGCTCCACTCATCAGGGCTCCGCCCCATCCATCTGCTATTCTAACAGTATTAAGGAAACCCAATCCCCCACCACCTCCTCCACGGTTGACTCCAGTGAAGTGTGAAGACACCCACAGGCCAATTATCTCTGACAATCCTGTAAAGACTAATGGGACTCTGCTACGAAATGGAGGCTTACCAGGAGGACCTAATAAAATTCCAAATGGAGATACGTATGGTATATCAAATAATAATTTGGACAAAGTTCCGATGCAACCTCTTATGCACAGATCTGAGAAAGACAGATGTCCTCAGGCTGGAACACGGGAGCGGGTACGATTTAATGAAAAGGTGCAGTACCATGGCTATTGTGCTGATTGTGACGTGCGGTATAATATTAAAAACAGGGAGGTTCATTTGCACAATGAGCCTGCTCACATCCCAGGAAAACCTCCTCAACAGTGTCCTCCCTTACCACCACCTCCTTCACCACTTCCTCCTCCCCCATTAGAAAATGGAGGGGTGGGCATATGTCCCAGTAATAGCTTTCCCCCTCTCAGACCTGCAACTGTGCCTCCACCAACTGCACCAAAACCCCAAAAGACCATCCTGAGAAAATCAACCACAACAACAGTGTGATTTTTCCCACCTGGAAAACTGTTTTTGCTTTTGTTTTTTCTTATGTACAAACATTGAAAAAAGGTAAAGAGCACTTTCTACAAAAGCAATAAAAAGCCCAAATATATTGCACCATTTTGTTCTGTGAAGTGGCAAAAAATTACCTGGTAAGTAGAAAGAAAATAGTTTAATGTTGTTAATACAAAAGTCCAATATTTAACGGTTGAAAACTGGTATAACATTATATGTATGTATATATGTACATATGAATGTATGAAAAAGATTTATATAGCCACCTTGAGCAACTCTGGGCACCTCATGATAACAATTTTGAGTACTAATTATTTCTGGTACTTATTAAGAATATCATAGCTGTGGTACAAGCAATTCTCTGGGAAACTATAGATATGAAGAACCAATTAGGAGTGAAGTCTAATCTATAGAAAACAATGTGTATTGTACAATAGTTTTTATAGTATGTGATACTTTTAAGGATATTTTTTGGAATATAATTAGTGATTAATCAGAATTAATTAAGAACATTTGAGTAGTAGTTTCAATAGAAAGTTTTACTACCAATAAAGAAATGTCCTAAAATGTTATATTCCAAAATATTTTCTGCATCCAAGAAAATGAGTGCACAAAACAAAGTAATTCTTCAGAAGGCAGTGTTAGAGGACATCAATATCTGCTGCCATTCTGAAAACATGACATAATTTTTATTTGCTAATTGTAGGTCATACAAAAGACTTCAGTTTTTGCTTATAACAATTTAGTTGAGAGCCTTAGGAATTTTGCCAAAAATTACTTTTTTACTTATTAATTGCTTAAACACTTGAAAAAGTTATTAACAATATTTAAAAACATTGAAAATTAAATATTTGAATTCTGGATATATTTTCCCATCTCCCAATCTTGATAACATGCTTGACTTTCTCAGTTACTGCAAAGGGTCTTCTGATATTTAGAAACATTATAAATAATACTTATTTAAGCAGGTTGGAAGAAAAAGATTAAATCAGCGAAGTCATCTTATGATAAGCTTTTTGTTTTTCAAACAATCTTGCATATTAGACATTTTGTTTGAATCTTTTTTATTGAAACCTTGTGTTATGGTTCTGATAGATGAAACCCATTAAAGAACTTCAAGGGAAGAATTCTTCCTTAAAGAACATTTTATTCAGGAAACAAAGTATCGGCACTACATAGTTGAACCCAAAACTAAATTCCCTTCCCCCAGATACAAAGTAACAAGTTGCAATTCCCACCCCTATGAAGCAGTCATGAAACACATTCTCCAATTAGCCTGAAGTGTGGGCTCCCTCTCCAGCTCCTCAGCCCACCAAAACGTTATCGTTTTGTGTCCTTGAGTTCCCATGAAGCTGCATTATTATTATTTTTTTATTAAAAGTTTTACAATTTTACAATAAAATCTCTCTCCCACTACCTCCCTACCCTCCCAAAACCCCTCCCCCCCTCTTCCCAGAGTTGAATACAGGGTTAACTAGTACTAAAAATACAAAACATTTAAACTTAAATAAACCTCAAACAAAAGTTACATTAAAAAAAAATCCAATATATATATATATAATAAAAAGTCCAATATATATATATATAATAAAAATTGCTTATTATCTTAAACTTTAAACTTTAAACATAAATTATTCAAAAGCTAAATAATATCTTTTAATATCATACTTATACTGTATAAAGTTTATCCATCTTTTCCACACCAAGAGATATTTCTCTTGTGATTGATCTTTCAAATAAGCCGAAATTTTTGCCATTTCAGATAAATAAGAAACTTTAAAAAAACCATTCCTCCAAGGTAGGCAAAAATTCCTTCTTCCAATATTGTCCTATCAACAACCTTGCCGCTGTAATTAAATTTAACATTAAAATAATTTCTTTATCATCACAATCAACAATAATACCTAACAAAAACAATTGTGGAGTGAATTTTATCCTTCTCTTAAAAAAATTTTGAATATTCCACCATATCTTTATCCAAAAAGCTTTTATACTTTTACATGACCACCAAATATGATAATATGTTGCATCCAAACAACCACATCTCCAACATTTAGGTTGCAAATTTGAATACATACGAGACATCTTTTGTGGATCAAGGTGCCATCTATAAAACATTTTATAAAAATTTTCCCGTAAATTTTGAACTTGCGTGAATTTAACATTCCTCACCCAAATTATCTCCCAAGTTTCTAATAAAACTGGCTCATCAAAATTTTGAGCCCATTTAACCATGCAATCTTTAACTAATTCTGTTTCTGAATCCAACTCCACTAATACGTCATAAATTCTTTTTATATGAGATCGACTTTGATCTTTAATTTGTTTCAACAAATTTTCATCCTCTCTAATCAAACCCACTTTATAATCTATCTTCCACCTTTCCAATAATTGTCTGTACTGAAACCACGAATAAATAATATTTTCTTGTGCTAATTCATCGATATGTTTTAATTGCCAACTCTTCCCATCCCAGTTAAGTAGTTGTTTATAAGAAATACTATCCATCTTCACTCCTTTCCTTATTCCTTCTATTGTATGCCCCGGGATAGCCCATAATGGAATTCTTGAATCTATTCTATAATATTTCTTCCAAACTCAAAGTAAAGAAATTCTTAAAATATGAGACTTAAAAGCCCTATCCATCTTCTTATTATAAATTAAATAGGCATGCCATCCATATAATAAATCCCACCCCTCCAAAAGGAGTATATCTACATTTGTTAAATTAATCCAATCACTAATCAATGTTAGAACCACAGAATCATAATACAATTTGAAATTTGGTACCTTGAGTCCACCTCTCTCTCGTACATCTTGCATAATTTTAAATTTTACTTTTGGTTTTTTCCCTGCCCATGAAGCTGCATTATTGTTATGGCTAGTTGAGCTCAAGCATTCACCCCATCCCCCTTTCTACATTTGATTTTTAAACAGCAGAAAAAGCAAGCTGTAAGCAGACTAAAAATGGCTGCAATTTCTCTCAGTTGTAAGAATGGGAACATCCATTGTCACAGCTTTGACACCTTGGAGTTTGCTTGCTTTTCTGTTAAGCCTTGGCACCCATTCATGACCATCTTTGAGGAGCTGTTCAAGGCAGCAACTGCTCTGAGAGATCTCATGCAGGTGATATGCACCAATGCACAATCCACACACACACATATATATGGGTAGGCCTTACTTTTGGGGAAACACAGACATAGCTAAGCTGTATAAGAATGTTTTCATTACATTCCTTTTATGTTGATGAAAAATTTTCAAATGGAAAATTCAGCCTTAGTATCAGAGGCGAGTAATGTGAAGAATGTATTGTGGGGAAAATGATGTGGAAGATATGGAAGAGAAAACTTTTAAGTGAAAGTTCAGTAAAAGCAGGAACAGTAATATTTGTAGTTTATGAAAAAAATTAAAAAAGATAGTTTGATTTCTCACAAAATGAATGGAATGTTGATACAAAAAAGGAGGATGTAGAAACTGATTATGGTACAAAGTGCCACAGAAGTATAGATAGTCCTTGTTTAGTACCTACAAGTGGGACTGGCAACTCAGTTCTTAAGCAAAACAATCACTAAATGACGTTTACATTGCAGACCTGCAAAGATTCTTAATGCAATGATTAGTTGTAAAGCTACTTTGTAACTGCAAACAATCACTAAATGGGGAAGTTGCTAAATGAAGACTATCTGTACTGTATATGCAAATTAAAGATATTATACAAAATATGAATAGAGAAAAATGTCTGTCTGTCTCTCTCTCTCTCTCTCTCTCTCTCTCTCTCTCTCTCTGTGCATTTGTGTGTGTGTGTGTGTGTGTGTGTGTGTGTGTGCAAATAATGGGTGAAGAAAGCTAAACAAAAGCTTTCCGATAGAATGAATGGGATCCAAAATATTAAGTGATACCATTTGGAATGAAACTGAAGCAAGAGATCATTGGAAGGAATATTTTAGATCTGGGAAAGACAGAGATATGTTGAATTAAAACAAAGGCTGAAAATGCTTATGCACTGAAAAAGAAACAATAAATGCTGTAAGAATGCAGAAAAAAGGTAACAGCAGGTATAGATGGTATGATTGAAGAAATGTTAAAACAGGGATGTGGTTTGTTACTGGAGTGGCTACATAAATCCTTTAACATCTGTATGAAAATTAAATCTGTTTGCTGATTGAAAGAATGCCAGTATTGTTCCACCATGAAAAGGAAAAGAGGAATATAAAAACTGAAGGGAGATTAATGTGTTGTCTGGATCTGGGAAGGTGTATTCAGATAGAAAGGGTATGCAATGACATTGAGTAAAATTTAGGAACTACAATGTGGTTTTATGCCAGACAGCAGGCATACAGATGTCATTTTTGTTCTTTATGAAGTAACTTAAGAATTTATGAATCTGAAGGGGAACGTTTATTGTACATTTGTTGATTCAGAAAAAGTGTATGACAGCATGAGTGGGCTTGAATTATGGAATGTTTTACATAAGTATTGAGTTGCAAGTTGGTTGCAGAATGCGATAAGAGTGCAATATTAATCGAATTCTTAATGAATAGTTGAATGCCAAGCAGGGAATGAAATAAGGAATTGTTATGCACTCTTGGTTATTTTAATGTATTCATGCACTATAAATATATAAGGAATACTGGTGATAATGTAAGAAATCTATTGGTTGGCATGTGAAAGTAAGTTGCTGATATCAAATGATTTGCCAAGAATGTGTCATGCAAAGAGAAGTACATGAAGAGGTTGTGAAAATTAATATATTGAAGGACAAGGAAATAAATGTTTTTTATGGGGAAACTGAGTCAACAATTGCAATAGACACCAGTAAATAGTGAATTTGTACTTTGGTAGAATGTTTATTGAAGGTGGAATAAAAATATTTAAGATGTGCAAATGATACTAGAAATCATAGTATATGTTGTAAGGAATGAATGTTTAAGAAGGCTGTTTATAAAGCATGCCCCTGCTCACTTTGTACTATGAAAATGAGAATTTGACTTATCAAGAGAAATTTAAAATTCAGTAAGCTCAGTGTATCAGAATGGTGCATTTAGAAATTTGCATAATAAAGCAAGAATAGGGTAAAATTAATGTATATTGAATACAAAAGTAAATATCTTATAAAATCTGTTAAGTCTGGGTAAGA